GGGGATGTTGCTGTGGACCCTGGATTTGGGGTAGTCTGCGCGCGTAGGACTGGTATTTCAGGCGTACAAGCTTTGACTGTGTCGGCTGTACGTGCTGGCTGAGAGTTAGTCCCCCAGTTGGACGGCTCGTTCCCTAGACACATGGTGAATTGAGGAATGGCTTTGCCATGTGGACTAGTCAAACAGTCCCCCGGTTGGATTGTTTCCCCGGTACAATTAAATATTGGTTACATTCATATACTATTATTATTAGTATTATTATTATTATTCTGTTACATCATATATTTAGTATGTATATAATTATATGTATATATGAATGTTCTTTGGTTCTATTTCTTGGTAAGAATACTTCCTCGCCGGTCGTACCTTTGAGAATGTTTACAAGAGTCTAACCTCTCGGACCTCTTAAGTTGAGTGGTGGGCTTCGTGAAGTATTATTCACGGGTTACGGATTTGAGATCCGATATATATATATATGTTAGTATATGTTTATACTATGTTTATGATGGTTTTGTCATGTTTATGGTTTCATTGCATGTTTTAATAATGGTGGGGGTTATACTACTTTGATTTCACTCGAATTGAACTTGATTTCTGTCCACTCACAATTTTCTGTTTTGCGCCCCCAGCCAGTAGTGACTGAGCTTTGCAGTTGAGCCGGACCGGGTGCTTCTTGGAATTCGAGTCTTCGTAGAGACTCTTGGTACCTTTTCCTTTCAGTTAATCGATACTTTGGTTGTATTTTGAATTCCGTAGATGTGCTCTATATCGCCCACTGAGGGTTTAAATTTTGTGAGGCCTGGAGGCCTTGTTTGTAAATTATTTCATTACTTGTAAAGCATGCTGCCAGTTGGTTGTATTTAACTATAAATCTTGGTTTGGTTGAAATTGGGAAATGTTCAATTTACAGGGGAGACTCTGCCAAATTTTTGGTAGGAAGTCTCAGTCTTTAGTAAGTGGGCCCGGCATCGGGATGATGTCGGTAATTAGGCGGGGTCCGTTCCAGGTTCCGAGGAATTTCTGGACGGGCCCTGTCACTTTTTCCCTTTTTTAAAGATCTCCATCCTTTGTTTTGATTGTTTGCAAACAATCCCCAGATGAGGAATTCAAGGATGGGCTGCACAACGTGGCCTCCGTTTTCAAGCTTTGTTTCTCTCCTTTATGTGCACGCAGCTGATTTTTTTATTTACTGTGAGATTAATCCCCCAATGATTCTGTTTGTGGGTTTTGTACCCAAATTGGATTTGTCATCCAGAGAACTCAGTGAATGAGCATTGTGCCCAAAGCGGATATATCAGAGAGTATTTGATTGAGGGTTACACACCCATGGTGGATTTTGTTCCCAAGATTTGTTTAGGGTGTACAAACCCAAACTTGTTTTGAGGGTGAAAACCCATATTTGTTTTTAGGGTGAAATACCCAAGCTTTGTTTCTGGGTGCGAAACCCACTATTTTGATTTCAGGGTTTATTACCCAAAGATGGATTGAACATCCAGGAAATTTTGATTGAAGGGTTGCCACCCATTATGGATTTATCATCCAACAAAATGATTTAAGGGTTGCCACCCATGATGGATTCATCATCCAAGAGTTTGATTTGAGGGTTGCTACCCGTTTGATTGATTAAAAGGGTTACCACCCAACATGGAGGACCTCAAGAGAGGAGCCTTGATTACTTCTGTCACATTTCTTCAGCACTGCCGTGCATCCTCCATGTTCCCCAAGCCTTGTTGACTTTTTTTTTTTTTTTGGGTATCTCTTCACAGTCTGCCGCTGTGTTTTTTTTCTCTGCAGCCTCACGGCTGCCTCTTCTCCAAGCCCTTGTCGCCTTGCAAGCTCTTTTTTCAGCCTCCCCCCACTTTTCTACAGCACCTTCTCCTCTTTCCCCCTCTTTTACCTCTGTACGTTCATGTCTTTTATAGGCAAAAGATGAACAGCAGTTGGGGAAGCACGTTTGTTAAGTGGGCAGCCTCTCTGCTGAATGGAGTTGCCAAAAAATAAACACGATCTCTTCCCATCATTATATGATTATCCTCTTCCTTTATTTATCCCTTTTTTTTTTTCTAGAGATAAGAATAGGGACAATCTGATACACACGTTGTTTCCCATTTGTTTTGAAAGCAAGTGTCATGTGGTTGTGGGAATCACCCACCCAACGTTATGGGGGTTATCTAAACCCACGATTTTTTTTTTATAATTTTTTTTTTTTTTGTTCAACAGTAAGGACTCGAGAGAGCTTCCATTGAGGGATCCCTCAAATAAGTTTATTTGAGAGACACTCCTTGTATGCCCCACTCCTGATTGTATTTCACTAATCCAACCTTCTATTTTGTAGATACTCATTCAAAGATCATCTCTACAAAAAATCACTTGAATCCAATATCATTTGACCACTCAATCCGATTTGTCTAATTTTTTTTGTAAGGATGATCTATGAATGAAGACCTAACAAATAGATGGTTTGGATCATTGAGAAAAAAATTATAGGGTACCCTAAAAGCTTCAATAGAAGGGGACTATATATATAAAAAAATTCATTGCAAAGTTTGCAAACTATATAAAAAGAAAAAATAGCTTTATATAATTTTATAGATACCGACGTTATTGAAAAAAGAAATTAATGCTTAATATCTTCGTTTCATTATTAAGATTTCGTTGAATATCATCTTTCTTTCTAAAATGTTCTCGCGATGTATATTTTCAGTAACACTTAAGGTACCAACTTGTTTGCTAACTTTTGGATACCAAAATATTTGACATATGACATGGCAACCCATGTCATATGTTTTAATTACATAATTTGTTTTTTTTAAAAAAAATTCACACAGAAAAAAGAAGAAGAAATAAAAATGAAATAAAAGAAACCCAACGATTTTAGATTTACAGATAAGCCCTTTGTAGTTTAGCATTAAACCTCCTTCTTCCTCTCTGAAAAACCCTAGAAATTCAGCAGTCCTTCCATTGAAGAATTGAAGAAATTTAGCAGTCCCTTCATTTAGTATGAATCGAATTCTAATTTTTCTTATGAATTTTCATTGTGCCTTTTCTTTTCCTCCACTTTCTGATGTATAAAGGAGAGGTCATATTGACTCCCACAGGTGGCGAAGCCCAAGTTGCCGTTTATTTTGGTGGACAAACATATGTTGCTTAAAGAATTTGTGTGGATATGAAAATCTAAAATCCAAATTGCCTTGTGAAACAAATTTCTCATTCCACCTTGGACCATCGCACTCCTTGGTTTTATGTCCTATGTACATACCTACCATCGTGGAAGATCCTTCAAATTTATAACTTTGTATAAACACAAACGCACACGCATCTTATCCACTTCCTTAATATATGTCCATATCTCTCTTGACCTCTAACGCACCATTTGCTCATGATTTTGATATCTACTCTGTCCTATTTACACACTTTCTAGATTTCTTCTTCTCGGAAATTTGAGGCAAATAATTATTTTGGACTGATTAGTAGAAAACTTTGTAGTCAGTCTAGAAGTTCAAAAAAATAGAGTTTTTTTCTAACAACAAATTTTCCATTTTTGGCCTCACTAGTAGAAAAGTTTATAACTAGTCAGTTCATGTTTTTTTCCCTCAAGTTTACCCCTTTTTGGACTGACTACTACTGTGAGGGCAAGAAAAACTTTGCTAATATATGCTAGATAAGGTGCACTTATCATGTCAACAAGAACTTAAGATACAATAATGTTACGGGCACTAACTTTCTTCATCAACTTATTGATACCAACACATGTGACCTAGAGTGGAGAGACTTAGAATTAATAACGAGCCTTTTCTTCCTAAAAAATAAAATATTTGGATTTGACCTTAGGGGATTGGCACTTTTGCTTCGCTCAAAATAGAGATGAAGACAAAAATAAAGGTTTTAATTACTTGTCTTGCCTTTGAGTCGGCCCTAACGAAGAAATAGATTTCTATACTATTATTGTTGAAGACTATTTCATGTGTGCGGCTACTGGTCAACCGACGTCTTCTAGTTGCCAGCCTATTTACATCATATCCATACAAAGATTATCGTTTGGATAACAGAAGTATTTTAAAGATAGTTTAATTTTGTTGGTGTTTGAGATTGGATTGAGTTTGATAACTTAATAGACGTTGAAGTAAAAAATGAAGGTAGAGCCACCGTAGCTTCAGTTTCATAACTAATCCATTTTCTACTTTCAATTTGGTCAAAATTTGAAAGTTGACCTTCAATTTTTTCCTCAAACATACTTTTCATCTAATGAATTATTTAATCTTAGGCACCGTTGAAGGACTACTAGTGCTGTATATGAACTTTGACAAGCATCTTCGTAGAATCGTAGAAATTACACAGAGGCATCGTAGCCTTACCTTGATATCTCACAATGTGCTTATAAAAACAGGCAATGATCGATGTTCAATCCAATCAAAACGCAGTCTCTCTCTTTATTCACTGCAACCGTCGCTAGTTCTTAATTGTTTTCAATGGCTAAAACTGCTTCTGTAATATTGACCCAAAACCTTTCTGATACCAAAAGGACCACCTCCTTTAATCATTCAGCTAATGATGATGAAATCCCCACCATTGATTACAGCATGCTGATCTGCTCTAATGATCCTGATCAACGACTCAAAGCCCTCCAATACCTTGCCTATGTCTGCAAGGAGTACGGCTTTTTCTATGTATGGAATCTCCTCTCATCTACATATACATTCATTCCCCCATACCACACCATTTTGCTTATTACAAAGCCTCAAAATCAGTTCACTATGCATACACACACACACACATGTGCATAGAGCTTCAACTGCGAACATGTTGGCGTACAACACGATGCTGATCACTCTGTAAGAATGTGAAGTATTGTCTCACATCGGAAAACTTAAGAAATTTTACCCACTCTGTAAGGTGGTGTGGCTTTGTTATTAACTTTTAGTGTTATCGCATTGTAAATACTAGCTCTGTAAATATATATATATATATATATATTGGTAAAAGAAAAGAAACAAAACTGTTAATTAATTAAGGTTTTGTGTTATGTTATAATTTGTTGTCGCATGTTTATATTGCGTACAAAATTACACATGCATGTAACATGCTGCCTGATAACTTTGCAGCTGGTAAATCATGGGGTGCCTGATAGCGTAATTGAGAGAGCACTGAATGGGATTTCCGATTTCTTTAATCTGACGGAGGAGGAAAAGATGGATTATGAGAAGAAGGATTCAACGGATAGGATCAGATGGGGGCTAGGGTTCTCACCCGGGGACCATGAAGCTGTCAAGAGGGAGTATCTCAAGGTGCTCCCGCATCCAAAGTTTGAAGGCCCTGCTAAACCAGCTGGTTTCAGGTACAAGAAAATAGGGTTTTTGAAGAAAAGTAAAAAATCGTGTGTGTACGACCCATGCATCAACCTACTCACCTAACCAACCAAAAGTCCTAAATTTTCTTTTTAATTTATAAAAAGTATTTTTCGTTTCTTCTTTGATGAATAAGTACATGTTTTAACCACTTAACAATTTTAATAAAAAATGCTATTTTTAACAAAGAAAAAAGAGAACTTATTTTCGTCAAAAAAATTAACATAAGGATTTGGATTGTATATTTGTATCTTTTTAAGTTATATTGTGTTTACATTTGCATAAAAAAAAAAACATCATTTTGAGTTTGAAGATAACCGTGGTTTCCAACTTAAGTAAATTTAGGTTTTAGCCACAAAAAAACTCACTTTTGAAAAAAGCCAAAACTTTTCTAAAAAAGACAGAAAAACCTCTCAACTTTGAAACCAAAGACATGCAAATGTAAGGGATTCATTAGGAAATCCAAAAATAAATATGGGCATTTTTGTCCATTTTGACTTCTTTTCAAAATATTTCTCTCTCCTTTGGCCTTTTCCAAAATGTCCCTTGGACTTAATAGTAAAATATACAAGTGATTGGTTCGATTTCTAAAAATTAAAATCGCGACTGCACCAAACCATTACGATCCGATTTTTGTTTGATGCCCACCCCTAAGCACAAGTATAGAATATGGATCCTAATAATTGGTCTAACTCGACTTTTTTTTTCCCCTTACTTTGTCTTTATTAAATGGCCTAAGATTAAGCTTAATTTATGTCCGACTATATATCTATGTTACTTACAGGGAGGCCTTGGAAGATTATTACCAAAGGGATCGAGAGGTGATAATTAATTTGGCTAAAGCAGTATCGAAAACATTGGGATTTGAGGAAAATTACTTAGAGAAGGAATTTGAGTTGGAAACTGGGGCTGATGTTTCTGCTATGAACGTGTATCCGCTCGGCTTTAAACCCAACACTCAAATCGGTTTGCCGGCTCATTATGACCCTGGCTACCTTGTTTCCCTCGTACAAAACGTCAACGGTGGTCTCCAACTAAACTATAAACAAAAGTGGATCAATGTTGATATGCCTTCCAATGCCCTTTTCATTAATATTGGGGATCATGTTGAGGTACATACATATTAAATATTTGAAGTCCTTAATTTATTTTCGACATAAGATAAATTGGTGCGAATATGAATCAAATTTATTCTTCACATCACTAAACCCACCATCTCATGTTACATGCCCCATATCTATTGATCATACTATTAATCACATTTTTCACAAAAGTCAAACTCATGAATGAGTCCGACCTACAAAAAATCTGTAAGAAATTAACGTGGACTCGTCACCCAAAGATATCTCCAAAATGAACATATTACATGTACCATATTTATTGATCATATTATTAATCATATTTTTCACAAAGGTTGAATTCATGAATGAGTCTGACCTACAAGAGGTGTGAACTTATGAGTTCTACGTTCACATCTTTGTAAGAAATTAAGGTGGACTCATTACTTGAAGATATCTCCCAAATGAGATCCATGAGTCCACCATGCAAGACAAGTATATATTTTGTTTTGGAATTGTTTGAGTTTCAATCTAAATCATGAAGTCGAAATCAAAGTTCATTATGTGTAAGACTTTATTATAGAAATGAACTATTGAATTTAAAGTCCAAAACTTAGAACAAAGTCAAGCAAACAAGAGAAGTAGATTTGCCTAATATAAAAGTTTCTTAATGCGTATTGTTTTTAATTCATTCCTTGTATTATATATAACAGGTTTTAACAAATGGGAAGTACAAGAGTCCTATGCATCGTGTGATCCTGAACAACGAGGTGAGAAGAGTCTCTGTGGCCACAGTCCATGGACCATCACTTGACACATTTGTGAAACCAGGTCCAGAGTTTGTGGGCGAGTCTCACCCACCAGCATACCGAGGGATGATCTACAAGGACTCCTTGGAAGCCAATGGTTACCATGAGATCGATGGAAAATCATGCATAGCACAACTTCGACTATGAACTAGAGTTCATGCTGGCAAGGAGTTGTTATGTGCTAAACCATTAAAATAAGACTTATTTATGGATATACCCCTTGTGCTTTCAAAATAGTCTCATGTTAGCTACTCCATCTGATTTGAGAGAAGTTCCGTTAGTTGATGTGACCCCCACTTCTTTTCAATCTCTTAACAAGGGAGAGGAAGGGTTAGTCAGGTTGAGAACATGGGAAATTTGGGAGAAGAAGGTTTTCTAAACCTCCAGATTCTCACATCTAAAATTCCCTCAACCTAACCTTCTTCTCTCAAATTCCCCATTTTCTCCAAAATTTTCCCTTTTCCCAACCTGACTAACCATTCCTCTCCTTTGTTAAGAGATTGAAAAGAAGTGGGGGCCACATCAGCTAACGAAACTTCTCTCAAATCTGACGGAATAGCTAACATGAGACACTTATTGAAAGTATAGGTGGTATATTGAGACATTTCAAAGAATAGATAGTAATCTAAGACTATTTTAAACGCACGAAGGGGATATCCATAAATAAGCCTTAAAATAATAATGTGTGGAAGTAATTAAATAGAATTGCTCATAAATAACTTTCTGTTGCAGTGCTAATACTTATGAATAAGGTTTATTGTTTTGATAATGTTGATGTATGGTTTTTACTATTTTCTTTTGGCTTCCCTTGACAACGTTGTAATAGGATGTGTGTTGTTATTTATCAAGCTCAAATTTAGATTAAGGAAAACCTTTCTTGGTGCTCTTCTCTAACTTCTGTTGTATGGAGGTTCAAGCAATTTGACAAAGGTATTGTGCATTGCATATCATTTCATAAAACAGTCTTCATAAAAATGATGACTAGTCATCCATTTCTCAGATGACTAGTAATCCTTGCTCTATAGGATTTCCAGCTGGATAACAAACTGTTTTGTCCATTTCCTCTTTCTCTCTCTCTGCTGCCATCTGTGTTTTCTGACCTAAGGAATTTTTTGGCTGTAAAGGCTACGTTTTTGGTCATTTGGTGGTTGTCTCTTTTGGGTGGAAGTTTTGGAAAGTTTGGCTTGCTATCTTTCGCTTCTTCTTCCTCGAGAGAACCATCTGAGTTTTCCAAAATGTTTAGAAAACTGCATTTGAAATATGAAAACCTCATATTGCTAGATCAAACACTCTCTCTTATATATCTAGGTTAGATTCAAGATTGATTTTTTCAAGAGTATGGTTTCTTGAAGAAATTGGTCATTCTCATTTGAATCCAAATTTTGGTTTCTGTCTGAGTTAAAGCTTGCAAGCTGGTGCTATGGGATAAATAAGCTGGAGAATGAGCTGTCATTGTCATGAAGAACTGAGCTTCAAGCTTTGCTAAGTTGAAGAAGAAGATTGCACAAAAGAGGTATAGCTCATCTTCCTAAATAGATCTAGATTTTTCTTGAGCTTGCTTGTGTTCCTTTGTAAGAATCTTTTTATACTTAGTGGATTGCCTAGTCGGTTGATAACCCCCAGTTTTTCTCAATGATGGGTTTCTGGGTGAACAATTTCTGATTGCATATCTGTAATTTTTATGGGTTTGTGTTCTTGGTGGTTGACTAGTCATCGTATGAATTCTGCTTGTACTTGACTAGTCATCATTATCTGTTGTTTGGTGTTTACTTGATTATAATGATTTTACATACTTTTATCATAGTTGTTGCTAGCACAGGGGATGCCTAGATTGACGGGTCCTTCTGAGTGCCTAGGTTGTCACTAGTAATTCTCTAGGCTTGCAGGTACATCTTGATGTGCTCTGTGTATGTTATTGTTTAGTATAATTCATATATGACAATTGACTAGTCATAAGAGTATTTGGTCAAGGTCTAGAGTGTGTGAAGTTTGCTGCGTTCTTGGTTGAATATCTTTTAAATTTACCCCTCGTCACCTAAGTACCAATTTCAATTGGTATCAGAGCACCAGCTCTTAACATAAATAAAGAGATCCTTTGGGTGCTAATTGGTATTAGGTGTGCAAACATAAAAATGGATCAAATTGCTCATTGCATTCATGATAAGCTTGCCTTGTTTGTTAAGAAATATAGAAGGGTTGTCAAAGATAAAACCAAAGTCACTAGGAATTGTCAAAATCTTCCTAGTTTATGTACATGTGTGTCTCAAGATAATGTTTTTAAGGAGAAGAGAGGAATTTTTTGAACTCTTATGGCTTTAGGGAGGACAAAAGTTTGAAGGGTCTTGTAAAGTGCTATCTATGTGGCGGTGCTGGTCACATTGATGTGGAATGTGCAAATAACCACATGACAAAGTCTAATAAAAAAGAAGAGTCAATTAGTGCACAATGGACTGATAGTGATAGTGATGATTCCAACAACTATATCACTTCATCTTATGAAGAGGCAAATAATTTTCCTTTTGTTGGTTCTGTTCATAACTCTAGCCTTGCTAGAGTTCATGAAGTTAAGGAAAGAAAATATGATTCAGGAAATGAATCTGTGTCTGGAGATGATAGGCAGGATGACCAGTCATACATAAAACAAGATGACTAGTCATACATGGAACAAGATGACCAGTCATACAGGGAACTATGTGAAAAGTATGATATGCTTTCCAATGAAACCTGTAATTTCAAAGAACATAATCACATGGTTGAAGAAAAGGTCAAGGACCTTGATGAACTGATTGAAACTCTCAAAATGGCCAAAAGGAAGTCGAGTGATAGTTTGTATGAGAATGAAGTTGACATGTATGAATTGTATCATAAAGTTAGAACTCTTGAAAAAGAAAATTCTAATTTGATTGAGAAATTGAATGTACTTGAAAATGACAAATCCTTGCTTCTTCATAGATTGATTTTATTTGAGTTTGAAAAGTCATTAGTTGAGCATGAAAAGGTTGTTGTGCATGATAAGTTTGTGGTTGAAAATTCTGTTTTGCAATGCATGTTATTTGAGAAAGACATTGAGATTCAAAACTTGTTTGAGATGGTAAAATCACTTGAAAACAACATGGTTAAACAATCTAATTCTTTTGATGCTTTACAATTTGAAAATATAAGATTAGAACATGAACTTGAGTTGGAAAAAGAAAAGATTGAAGGTTTAACCATTGGTGCTGGAAAGATTGATAAAATGCTCAATTTTGGAAAATTGTTTGGTGATAAAAGAGGTTTAGGATATATAGATGAGTCTTCTACACCTTCATCTTTTGAGACAATCTTTGTCAAAGATATGTCAACTCAAGAAGCTCCAAAATTTGTTCATGGTCTCAACTTGGGTTTTGATTCCATGAATATTGTTTCTAAGGGAAAGTTGTCTTTTCCACAATCCAAATTTTATGCCTACCTGCCACCATTGTGGTGTGAAAGGACACATTCGACCTAGGTGTCATATCCTTAGGATTGAGTCTCAAGTTTCAAAAGAAAGTGAGTTTAAGACTCATGTGTCATCTTTTAAGGGGTATGCAGCTGTAAAGTCTATGGTTTGTACAAGAGATAAACATTCTTCACTTGCAAAATTTGGTTTCCTTCAACCAAAAAGGTTCATTCCTATATGCCATCATTGTGGCACATTAGGACACATTAGACCAAAGTGTTTTGAGTTTAGGAATTTTGAGAAAAAGCCTTTTTGTTCATTTCAAGAAAGTAAATGACGACTCACTTCAAACTCAAGTGAATGATCTTCTTTATAAAGCTGTCAAAATTCCTAAGGTGATCTCTATGCCTCATAAAGTCTCAAAAGTGAAGCAAGTTTGGATCAAGAAGGAAGACCCTGTTCTTCCTCATGTTGGTGACTAGTTTCTTTATCTTATGCATCTAGACCATTCTCTTGTTTGTGGTTGCTTCATGGTGTCTAGATACCCTGTCATT